TACGTCATATTGACTCTCATTATCGGAGGCTGCTGCAGATATATAAGAATAATGAGGCTGAAATATATTTTAGGAAAATAGTGTGACAATTGATTAGTTCAATTTGCACAATAGGCATTCTTGCATATCATGCCAAAAGTCTACCTAATTTGCACAGAACACAAATGAAGATGGCTGGATTTGGAATATGGCAACACTACCTGTGAAGCACCAGTGGCTGCTGTACTGAAATTTCTACTGTCTCTTAACCTGAGATATGTTGGGAGGCTGAGGCTACTGGCTAGAGCTTAAGGAGTTGTAGTCCTGCAACCACTGGAGGACCACTAGTTGCCCACCTGAGTATTACAATGAAGATTTTAAAAGACTGATTGTGGTGGGACAGCAATGGAAGATTGAAAGTGGGTTTAGAGAAGCTTTGATCATTTTGATCCAATTGTGAATGGAATGTCACTCAGAGGTAGATTAGGTAGATTTTCCTCAGGCAGCACCAAGTGCAAAATGGCATGGGAAACCAAACGTGTTTCCATAAAAGTAGTCAAATTGACAGGGAGATACTGTAAATATCTAGGGTTTTGTCCACAGCTAAATTCAGAGTGATTTATGGCCCATTTTCAGATGAAATATCTGAGGAACCTCACAGCTAGCAAGCTGAGTTTGGTTTAGCATAATTTCTCAAAGAGTAGTTCTACATCCCCAGATTCTTGAATATATTAAACATATTCTGCCTCTTGTAAAGTTTCTACCATTTGTTATAGGTACAGTGGAGTCTTGAACTACAAACTTAATCCGTATTGGAACGGTGTCTGTAGGTCGAAAAGTCTGTAGGTTGAAAATGGATTCCCCATAGGAATGCGCTGAAAACCCATTAATCTGTTCCACCCTTTCTCCCCCACCGGGCAGGTTCTCCACTGCTGAAACCACCATGGGGCAGCCCTTTGGAGAAGCCGGGTGGCAGGGAAGAAAGGCAGGAGCTAATCCGGTCTTTCTCCCCCACTGTGAGGTTTCTCCCAAAGTGCTGAGCCCAATGGTGGTTTCAGCAGTGGAGAAGCCGCGCGGTGGGGGAGAAAGACCGGATCGACTCCTGCCTTTCTTCCCCGCTACCCGGCTTCTCCCAAAGGGCTGCCCCGATGGTGATTTCAGCAGCGGGGAAGCTGCCGGGTGGGGGAGAAAGGCCAGATCAGCTCCCGCCTTTCTCTCCCACCACCCGGCTTCCTCCCTTTACCAAACCGTTGGGGTGAAAGAGCTAAAAGAGCAGCCCCTTTGCCACCAACGGTTTGTACTTCCCACCCTTTTTCCCTGCCTTTTTCGTCTGTACATCGAAGCTCCGGCCGCAAGTTGATCCAAAATTTTGTGGCTGGAGCTGTACATACATCGAAAAGTCTGTAAGTGGGGCCATTCGTAGGTCGAGACTCCATTGTATCTGGTAATTAATGAACTGTCTTTGTGCAGCAATCATCTTACTTGAAGCATTGCTTATGAACCCTTCTCATCAGGAGCTAAACTCTGTGGGGTCCCTGGGGCCATGGAATATTGTAGACCTTCTACGTGATAATGAAAGGAGAATGTATGCTACTCTAGGCCTGTTCATCTGGGCAGCAGAAAACCACTGACATTACCTCCTTACCATAGATGCTACAATAGAATAACATCAAGGGCTGGAAGAGACCGGGGAGTCCTTGGATCCACTGGACCTAATACCATCGCATTCCTCTGACATGCCTCTGATCTAGAGGAAGAACTACACCAATCCTGGAACTGACATAGCTAAATTCTTGCTTGTTTTAATCAGTAGAAAGAAAAGGGCATAGTCACAGCCAACAAAGTGGTTTAGAAGATGAAGCTGTCCTTCAACTTCTGCCTTTTAATCTTGTAAACCTATCAGGTCTTTCTATTTGTCAGTTTTTCTGCTCACAAATTCTTCCTCTATGACCCTGTAAGACTACTTTCCCAGACAAGCACTATAATCTTGAGCCCAATTCAGGAAAATTTGGGGCATAATGGGGCAGCATATCTATTTATGCACTCCTATGGGCTTCTCCCATGCCTGTCCAACCTCATATGTGATTACAGTTTTAAAAAAAACCCCACCACCACTCAGCTGTTCAATAAGATGTAAACAAACCCTTGAAGCTTGTTTTCTTTCTCTTCCCTATCTCTACTCAACTATGTCATTCATCAGGAAGTCTCATGCAGAGAGCATAATGTCTACAGAAAATGTATGAAGACAGGCTTGCAAAACATAAAATAGATCAACAGTGTAACTATTACAGGCAGAGGCATTCAAAAGTAGGCATTCCTAGGCACTAGATTTGCTGTGTTTATTTTTAAATACAGAGGGTTTTTTTTACTTGTGTTCTAACCATTGAAAACTTATGGACAACAATGTCGTTGTTGTATTTCGTTATTGTCTCTAAATCAAGGCCAATAATTATACATGCTAGCATAGCAAAATTCAGTCTAAGAAAAAAGCACCCATATCACAATAAGAACAATCTATGAGGTACAACATTGTTTAATAAACAAACAGACAAACAAGTACAACCTATAATGTCCAGTATCCTAAGCTTGTGCTGAAACACTGACTGAAAGCAGTAGTCAGTCACAATTTGAGTAGGCTCACTAAATCAATAGAACTCACTGGTTATCACAGATTCTCCACTTGTTCAATGCACCCACTCTAATTGTGACTTGATACTGGGTTTCAGGCACTAACATAGCTTGGTCCCACCCAATTGTTTAATATTGTTTCCCAAGGCTGGAGATGTCTATGGGTGACATGCCATTAGGACAGTGGTTTCCAACCATGGGGCCTCAGATGTACTTAGACCAAAATTCCTAGAAGTGTTCACCACTAGCTTTGCTGGCTAGGATTTCTGCGAGTTTCAGTCCTAAGATATCTGGGGACCTAAGGTTGGGAACTACGGCATTAGAAGCTCTCATCTGTTACTGTTTCACAGATGTGATTCCAGCAGACTTTCATGATTGAGCAATCATACTTCCAAATGATCAGTCACAAAACAAAGCAAGCTAATTTGTAAAACTGTGGGAGATGTGAAAAGCTCAAGCTGTGACATCAAACATTCTCTGCTCATAAGGAATTTCCATTCAGTTGTTATACCCTCCCTAACTTATAGTTTGGCTTTCAGGGTTCTTCAACAGAGCAAGAATATAATTGTGATCATGTGTGAAAACTTCATTCTTAGCTTTTTTCCTGTGCTAATGTCATGCATAGTGACATAAACAGCAAGCATGTCTGTATTACAATGTGTGACTGCCTACTGAATCCACAGCTATCATTCTTCCTATATGACCCAAAGAAATGCACAGGGCTCAAGGGTCAAACTGGGGAAGCTGGTTTGCAATGGAATAAAAATAATTCCCCTTTTATTCGGAAGAAACTATAATGATGTTCTGAGCCATTTGCCCCACATTTTAAAATAAAAAAAAATGTTTGATAGTTAATTTTAATAGATTCTTCAATGTTTTGTGGACATTCTGTCTCTCATCATTCTTTGGCTCTGGTAATTGAATCATTCAACAGTTATTAAAAATTAAAGCATGCATGGGTTGAAAGTTAAATTTATAGTTCATAAATGTAGAGGGGCTTCTTTTTTCCATGGGTTCTTATCCATTCCTTTCAAATTTACAGTGGTGCCTCACTAGATGATTACTTCACAAAACGGTTAATTCACAAGACAATGGGTTTTCAGCATCGCTATAGCACTTTGCAAAACGGTTTTCCCAATGGGCGATTTTTGCTAGACGATGTTTCGCTCCGTGCTTCGCAAGACTTTTTTTTCGGGATGGTTTTTCGCAAGACGACGATTTTGACAGCTGGGTCCGCGCTTCACAAAATGTTTTTTTAGGGATGGTTTTTTGCAAGACAGCAATTTTGACAGCTGAGTCCGCGCTTCACAAAACGGATTTCGTATGGGCGAATTTTTGCAAGATGACAAATTTTTCCCCATTGGAACACATTAAATAGATTTCAGTGCATTCCAATAGGGACCCACATTTTGCAAGACGATGTTTTCGCAAGACAGCAATTTTTGCGGAACGAATTAACATCGTCTTGCGAGGCACCATTGTACATCCACTGAAATTCCATGTTATACATTTTTATATACAAAAATCCTCAGGAAAAAGTGTTGACATTGCAAAGTATAGATTTAGCACAAAAAGTTGCATCCTGGTTTGATTGTGCCTTGATTTTGATAATAATAACTATCAGGTAACTGACTAGAGGCATAATGCATTATAGTCGGGGTACAAATACTGTATGTATACACAGGTCGCCACAAGGCTTAATACATCTCACATTATCCCGATCCAACATGCTCTAGATAGCTATTCTAGCTATTGATTTTAAGCACAATCTGTGGTGAAGGAGAGGTGGGGAAATAAACCTCATGCTTATATCTTCTTGTAGTGTTAGTTATTGTTATTGTTAGTTTTCTTTCTTAATTTGCAAATTCTTTATAAGCAAGATTGAAAGAACTTAACGTTAAAAAAATGTATAGCAAAGTGAAACAGGCTGGATTTCGCCACTCATGGACATTTAACTCAAACACAGATTTGAATTTGCTCAGCCATCTCTCTGGTGGTAAATTAGAGTGGCTACACCTTTCCTTTTTTGGGGGGGCAGGCCCTTGATCTTTAACAAAGAAAGTAACTACTATATCTTTCTGGGACTGGAATATCTGTGTCTACTGAGTGTGACCAGGGCAGTTGGCTCAGATTTGTGCTTGGTTCAGTTTTTGAAATAAGAATTTTTCAAAAATGTCCAGTTTCATGATAAACAAGAAATAATTTTGAATTCAAATACAGAAAAAAATAGACAGACCACCCATCTATTCCTATGGTTTGTATGCCAGTCATGCACTAGGATAGATTATGCCCCTAAGAATTTAATCATGAATGGATAGCAGGTCTTCTCCATCTGCTTGCTAACTTAGGTGGGCAAATAGTATAAAACATGATACACAAATGTGTTGTATTACCTCCATGGTGTGGCGGAGGACCGCAGAATAGCACGACTCCTTGTCCTGCTCTGACAGATACAGTGCTTCTTGCTTTGGTTTCAAAGTTTTCAAGATCTTAAAAGGGGGAAAAATTAAAAAATATGTTAGACATGCCCATTTTCATACCAGAAACCAATCTGGGAGACCATGCTTCAGTGACTGTAGGATGACCATGACAATATTGATCTTATAATGAACTTCAACACCATTATTACTTCTCCTTATCCTTGTCAGGGAATAAATGCAATCAAACATTAAATAAGTACAATTTGCTGCCTTTTCCTGACACTCAAAAGCTGATGCCCGAGGAAATTGTCTCATGTTGCCCGATGGTAGGGCCAGCCAATCTGGATCTAAGCAGTGATGTGGAATAGGAAATGAACAAATACAATCATCCACACAGTCATTTCACTTGCACCTGGTCTACCATCTCTTACTATGTATGCTAACGCACAGCATGGCACAGGCTAATAAAACATAATACATTTTGTTATCAAAGAGTGCAAAGCTGAGATCAGGTGTTTGGAGGGGATTGCACTGGCTAATAGACATTTAAAGAACAGCAGCCCTATTTCACAGATGGTGTAGTTGCTAACTGTGTTTTCTGCAGAAATCCATGAATAAGTTATCACCTGACTCTCCATAATGCTCCTCTTCCTTCCTCTGCCTGCATTTGTCTTCCTTTGTGAGCATCGACTTCTTTCCCATTGCATTTTTCTATCAGCTGCAATTCCCTTCCAATTGCCTTTCAATTCTCCCCTCCTCTCCTCCCCCGGCAATTCTCTTTCATCATTGCATTCTGGCACACGACAATTGGCAGGGTGTAGCTAATCAGTCAAATCTGTAATGATATTGTGTAGGCTGAGCTGAATGCTCAGGTGTGAATGTGATCCTTCTGAGTGTGTCGCTGAGATACCCGGGCTCAGCTGCACATGGTGGCAAGTCATCACCATCCGTAGGAAGCAATTGCAGACCACGGGAAAGTGTGAGAGATGCTCATGGCGGGGAAAACATATGTTTCTCTGTGTTAACCAAATTAGATTATCACAAGAACATTACTGATATAGACTGAACCATATGGGGACATTTCTGGAGAATGCTGGGAAACAGGTTGAGAGAACAAGGAAGTCATTCAGCTGGTGCAACTGCTAGCCCTCACAGTTTCTCCAAGGACTCTGTCGATATCCGCTGCTTTTCTTGAAGCAATGCAATGGCTTTCCATTCACAGAGAACACAGCCAGAGGTGACAAAGAAACCTAGAGAACATTCTGGGTGCACGCAAAAGATAGAGAGGGCTGCCTTCTTTTTCATGGCAACAGGAAGTGACAGAAAAGCCACAAAAAACACTATGGAATTCTGAAGAAAAAAAAGTGGCTTCTCCGGACCACAGAGCTCCAAATAGCTGGTGTGTTTTCAAATAACCAACTCCCAGAGAGGAGCAAGGCACAGAGAAGGGAAGGGAAGGAAAGGGAAGGAATGGAAAAATAATAATAAAAGACATTGGTTTCCCTTGGATTAGAGTGGGACAAGAAGCAACAGTTAGAACTGGAAATGGAACAACTGATTGGTTCAAAATTGGGAAAGGAATACGACAAGGCTGTATATTGTCCCCCAGCTTATTTAACTTATATTCAGAATACATCATGTGGAAGGCTGGACTGGAAGAAACCCAAGCCGGAATTAAGATTGCCAGAAGAAATATCAACAACCTCCGATATGCAGATGATACCACTCTGATGGCAGAAAGTGAGGAGGAATTAAAGAACCTCTTAATAAGGGTGAAAGAGGAGAGTGAAAAAAATGGTCTGAAGCTCAACATCAAAAAAACTAAGATCATGGCCACTGGTCCCGTCATATCCTGGCAAGTAGAAGGGGAAGATATGGAGGTAGTGACAGATTTTACTCTGGTTGTTGTGGGTTTTTCGGGCTCTTTGGCCATGTTCTGAAGGTTGTTGTCTTCTGAAGATGCCGGCCACAGAGATTGGCGAAACGTTAGGAATTAGGAAGAACAACCTTCAGAACACGGCCAAAGAGCCCGAAAAATCCACAATAACCATTAGATCCTGGACGTGAAAGCCTTCACGAATAGATTTTACTCTCCTGGGCTCCGTGATCACTGTAGATAGTGAGAGCAGCCACGAAATTAAAAGACACCTGCTTCTTGGGAGGAAAGTGATGACAAACCTAGACAGCATCTTAAAAAGCAGAGACATCACCTTGCTGACAAAGGTCCACATAGTCAAAGCTATGGTTTTTCCAGTAATGATGTATGGATGTGAGAGCTGGACCATAAAGAAGGCTGACCACTGAAGAATTGATGGTTTTGCATTGTGGTGCTGTAGGAGACTCTTGAGAGTCCCATGGACTGCAAAGAGAACAAACCTATCCATTTCGAAGGAAATCAACCCTGAGTGCTCACTGGAAGTACAGATCCTGAAGCTGAGGCTCCAATACAGCACATCTCATGAGAAGAGAAGACTACCTGGAAAAGACCCTGATGTTGGGGAAGTGTGAAGGCAAGAGGAGAAGGGGATGACAGAGGACGAGATGGTTGGACAGTGTCCTCGAAGCTACCAACATGAATTTGACCCAACTCTGGGAGGCTGTGGAAGACAGGGAGAGTCTGGTGTGCTCTGGTCCACGGAGTCACAAGGAGTCGGACATGACTTAACAACTAAACAAAAAACAAAAATGTCAACCTTTTGTAAATTCCACTGGTTAATTGGTGCACTCTACTTGGGATTAACAAGTAGATTTAGCCCGGTTGTGCAACAGTGCACCTCAGTTATGATGGCAAGCATATGTTCACATGTGGGTTAAAACGCACATGGTATTTCTCTGTGTGTGTATTGACAGACAGACTCTAGATCAGCGGTCTCAAACATGCAGCCCGGGGGCCCTTTGCAGCCCACCGGATGATAATTTGTGGCCCCCCCATCTTGCCTCCCCTCCGAAACACCCACATGTCCTCTGCTGTCAAGAGTCGCTCCCAGCCCATCCTCGAAGAGCACCTCCAAGCTGCCAACAGCAGCTGCCGCCACTGCCTCTTCCAGGGAAGTGGCTCTCTTACTCTCTCGGCACAACCAGCACCAGCCCGGCCAGTGGCCACCTCAGCACCCGGCGGTGCTCCCTCCTCCTCCTCCTTCTCCTCCTCTTCATCCTGCTTCAGCCACCTCAGCTCTGGAGGCTGCCTGGGATCGGCTTGCAAAGTTTGCTCCTCTGTTGTGGTGGGGGTAGCTGCTGCTGCTGAGTGCGCCTTTTTTAGAGGGGGGCCCTCAGAGGAAGGTTGCCGGACCTCCGTGTGTGTGTGTGTGTGTGGTTGGGTGCATGCGCGTGCATGCACCTGTGGGGGGTGCCCCGTTCTGTTTAATTTCACGGTTACCGGTGGGGTTTTTTCTCCTTTGACAAGGTGAATTCTGTGAGGGTTTTTTTAAAATTTCATGTCGTGTCCTCCTCCCCCCACCCCCAGCTAGGTGGTCGCTGGCGCTCCCTCCCTTCTCCGCTTCTTTGCCTTGCTGGTGACAGTGGTGGTGGTGGTGAAGAAGGAGCTGGGGGGGTCGTGGCTGGGTGACAAGGGCTCGTGCACCACCTCCTCCTCCTCCTCTGAGCCCCAGCTGGGCTAAGGAAACTCCTGGGCAGCTTCCTCAGGTTCTTGCTCTGCTTGGCGGAAAAGTCTGATGCAGCCCAGCCTCACCCAGACTCTGCCTCCAGCAGCCCCCAGGTAAATTGAGTTTGAGACCCCTGCTCTAGATGTATGAGAGTGATAACTCTAGGGCTGACTTTAAAATTGACAGTGTTAGAGTGAAAAATGTTCCTTAGTTGCACATAACCCTGGTAACAAGAGTTAAGTTGAAGGATAATCAACAATCTAAAGTGCTCTAATTGCTTCACGCTGTAATTATTAAAAGATGGGCAAATCCATGGTAGCTGAGGGGTTTAGTTAAGGAGATAAACAAGTGTATCTGGAGAAATATACTAATGCAATGTACACAGACATATCCCTCTCTGTGTGATTATGTTGCTCCTATTAGTACTAATGGGAATAACAGTCTGCCACAGACACAGAGAATATATTTTCTCCTTCCTCCTTGTTAACATTCCCAGTGTTTCATGCCAACAATTAACATTAACACTGATAGTGTCAGGAGTTTATCATTCAGCCTGAAGTTAAATGGCTCACAGAGCAGTAAAATGATAAAACAAAAAGAGCAATCCCATGGGGTGTGGAGAAATGGTGGCAGAAAAACCTCCACATCCTAAATTCTGCTGTCTCATAGTGGCAAAGGCAAAAGCTGTGGGAACTTTTCCCCCCCTGGGCTCGTTTCCTATTAAGCAAAACAAAATAAAAACAAAAACAATTCATCAAAGAGAGAGGAAACCACTATTACATCTACTCCAGGACTGGAAAAGCCGTTTCTCCTTATCAGAGCTATGTTGATGAATGACGGAATTTTATTCTAGAACTCTCCCACAATCTAGGAATATAAAGAATACTTGCTAAATTTCTCATTTTTCTATGCCTATTCATTCATTCATTCATTCATTCATTCATTCATTCATTCATTCATTCATTCATTCATTCATTCATTCATTCATATTATCACCTTTTTCTTGGAAAGGACCCAAGTGGCTTAAGCTATCTTGATGCAGAAAACACCATTATAATTTTTTTCCCTAGCCTTTTGGCAGGTGGGGTCAAGGTCTTCAATTTATGCAAAATGTATTTGCACAAAGTGAATGCATTTCCTTTTTAGAAGCAAAATACAACACACACACACACACACACACACATACACACACGGCAAGCACAGAAGGACTTGTGTTTGTTCAAAATAACAACCCCCAAACACCTAGATGATGCTTCTAAATCTTGAAAGTCTGTGGGGGGGGGGAAGCAGAAACTATCATAATTTTTTCTACCTACAGAAAACTCATCCTTGAGGATGAGTAAGTACCATGCCTTCCTGTAGGTGGTAAGGAAAATGCTGCAGTTTCTTATATTCATGCATGAAGACAAGACAAGCAAGGATTTAAATTCCTATCATAATCCACCTCAGACAGCAAGATGGAGCCTC